TCTTCTGGAACCTCCATACAGGGGTTAGGTCTAAATGCGGGTTATAGTTCATTATCGAACCTTACATTCTACTTGTTTATCTCGATATCCTCCGCAGGTGAAATGATTACATCAGAGACTTAAAACGCGGAACAAATCAGATAACCATTTTAATATAAAAAAAGGGGGTTATATGGGGACTACCCCAAAATGGGGGCGAATATTAATAATTTTTGGTAGGGAGATTTGGTACCATATACGACTACAAAATACCAATTTGCAGCAAATTCGGTTGAAAAACGCGCTCAAGAACCCCAAAATACCGAAAATTGGGGGTACCCTTATATGGGGGCTATCCGAAAAAATGGACCTATATTCATAATTTTTTGTGGAGAGATTTGGGACCTATTAAGAACTCAAAATATTAAATTACAGCTAATTCGGCGGAAAAATACGACCAAAATATTGAAAATTAGGAGGTACCGTTATATGGGGGCTACCAGAAAAAGTGGACCTATATTTATAATTTGTGGAGACATTTAGTACCCAATAAGAACCCAATGTAGCAAATTTCAGCGAATTCGGTTGAAAAACCCGCTCAAGAACCCCAAAATACCGAAAATTGAGGGGTACCGTTATATGGGGGGTACCAGAAAAAATTTACCTATATTTATAATTTTTAGTGGGGAGATTTGCTACCCAATAAGAACTCAAAGTACCAAATTTCAGCGAATTCGGTTGAAAAACACGCTCAAGAACCCCAAAATACCGAAATTTAAGGGGTACCCTTATATGGGAGCTATGCCTAAACGTGAACCGATATAGCCCATCTTCGAACTTGACCTGCCTGCAGACAAAATTTTGAGGCGTAGCTAAATTCATGCGTATGCGTACGATTTTATTCACCTCAAAAGTTAAATACATGCATGGTATAATTATTATTATATTATTATTACTAGCAAATTGCCCGCTACTTCGTATGCGGAAAGGTAATACAAAAAATATTTCATATGGAATCGTGAATACTGCAAATTTGTTGTAATATAGTTTGCGATTTAGTACTCTTCATACACATAAGCACTATTTTCTGAAATATTTCTTACTTCCATTAAAGAGATTAAAACCAGTAAGGAAATTAGTAAAGTACCCCATGCAAAATTTCGTGCAAGTCGAAAGATATATAGGGACTTTGGTACACCATTTACATTAAATCGGACGAAGTTATATATGGGAGCTATATCTAAATCGGAACCGATTTTCATAATGTTTAACACACATCGTTCTAGACTTAATTCAGCTCGCTGTGCCTAATTTCGTGTAAATCGAAGGATATATAGGGAGTTTGGTGCACTATTTACATAAAATCGGACTAAAATGTGGGAAATATATCTAAATCTGAACCGATTTTTCCCAATTTCAATAGGGTTCATCCTCGAACACATAATTACACATTTTCTAGACTTCTTCCATACCACCACCACTAAATTTAGTACCAGTTAGTATAAAAAAAAAACCCTTTGGTACTTTTTTCTAACTCTCCGTCAGTGACCCACTTTACAAACTTTAGGTTTCCAGCTCTCTCCGTTGCCGAAATCGAAATTTAGTGCATTTGCTATTCTATTTACTATTCCTACACATCTATTCGAGTTTCCAAAGTTATCTCCATAGCTAAATACTACACTTTAACAGTAATCTAAATTCCAAATCTCAGGACCCAACCAAATCCAAATTGTTCCAAATTTAGTACCATCATAGTCATACGTAAGAATTTCTAAAACTACATCAATCTTACTCTCCAATAGTAATCTTAATCCCACCAACGTCCAAATTTAGTACTTTTCGTACTCATAAGTACGAATTTCCAAACATACCTCAATACTGATTTCAAATAGTAATCGTAAGACAAAATTTAAGAATTCCAGATCTGTCTGTTCACAAAAACCAAATTGTACCAGATTTGGTACCATTCTGTACTTTTCGTACCCATATTCCAAACTATATCGAATCTACACTCCCACAGTAACCTAATACCATAGACAGACGACAGCCTTTATTTGCATTAAAAAATTCTTAATTTGAATTAATATTTACCCCTGACAGACGAGAGTTTCTGCATTTACGAAACATTTTTTTTTGCTTCAAAACAGTTGTTTGTCTGTGTGTATGATGAAATTTTTTTACATTTGTTTCGATATTTTTCAAGATTAAATCTTTAGGAAATAGATACATGACATAATGGAGGAATAGCAACTATGATCATAGCTAAACAGCTCCCAATTTAAGAAATGGTTGAAATTAGCCTTCATTTCTTATTTTTATTTTCATAAATATAAATAAATTTGACAAGAAACAATTAATTTTCGACAGCATTGCCATATTGAAATTGCCTAATTCAGTATAAATTCAGTTTGATTTTGTGCATTTACTACACATAAAAATGAGGATAATGTACAAGTTAATTTGAATTAAGGCTGTTAATGCAAATTAAGGCTGTCGTCTGTCTAGGCTATAAGTTGCAACATTCGGGATTCCAATTCTACCAGTTCACCTAAGTCGGAATTGTACCAAATTTTGTGCTTTTCGTACCCTTAAGTACGTATTTCCAAAACTACCCCAGTCATGTTCTCCAATAATAACCTTTGGTCCACATTTAAGGATTCCAGCTCTATCCGTTCACCAAGAACCAAATTTAGTACCATTTATTACTTTTCGTAGAGGTAAGTACGATTTTATAAAACTTCCTCAATTCCACACTCCAACAGTAATTTTAATCATAAATTTCAGGTTCCCAGCCCTATCCGTTCACATAAATCCAAATTGTAGCATATTTAGTACCATTTAGTACTTTTCGTACTTTAAGTTTGATACTGTCTACGTTCAATACTGTCTCAATCCTGTACTCTAACAGTATTTTTATTTTCAAGTATACGTTTTCTATTTCTATGTCTATCTCTATCCTTTCATTTAAATCCAACTTGTACTAAACTTAGTACCATTTAGTACACATAATCATGCATTTTCAAAACTACCTCGATATCTCAATCCTACACTCCACCCTTAATTTTGATTCCAAATTTTAGGATTCCAGCTCACACAAAACGAATTGTACTCTATTTAATACCATTTAGTGCTTCTCGTATCCAAAAGTGCGAAATTTCAATACTACCTTAATTCTGTGATTTGCATTCCAAATTTAAAATTTAAAATTTCATTTTAATTCCAAAATTATGGAGTCCAACTCTATCCATTCACACTTAATCAAGTTGTACCAAATATAGTACCATTTAGTACACATAAGAACTATGCTTCCATGTCTTAATTCTATATTCTAAAAGCAACAATTATTCCAAATTTTAGGTTTCCAGCTCTCTCCGTTCACCCAAATCCAAATTGTACCATATCTAGTGCCGTTTAGTACTTTTCTTACACACAAATACGAATTTCCAAAGATGTCTCTATAGCTCAATCTTCAACAGTAATCAGAATTCCAAATTTCAAGGTTTAAGCTCATTCGTTTAAGCAAAATCCAAATTGTACTATATTTAGTACCATTTAGTACTTTTCTTACCAATAAGTACGAATTTCCAAAACTACCTCAATTCTACACTGCAACAGTCATTTTTATTCCCAATTTTAAGACTCCAGATCTGTGAACCGAAATCCAACTTGCACAAAATTTAGTACCATTAGGTACTTTTCGTACGCAAACGTACGATTTTTTAAAGGTACCTCAATCCTGTATTCCAACAGTAGTCCTAATTCCGATTTTCAGGATTCCATCTATATATACTCAACTAAAAGCAAATAGTACCAAATTTAGTACCACTTAGTACTTTTTAAAAAACATAAGTACGAAAATCTTAAACTATTTCCACACATTAACACCAATTCCCAACCTGTATTCCATATAAAATTTCAAGATTTTAGCTATATATGTATACAATATATATACAATTAAAACTAAATTTAGTACTTTTAGTACACTTATAAGTCGAATTTCCAAAAACCCTTTTGCATAGCTTTCTAACTTTCCATCAGTGACCCACATTCCAAATTTCAGAATTCTAGCTCTTCCCGTTCGCCTACTAGTTCGAATTTCCAAAAACCCAGCCTTATCTCACGCCTACACACCAACAAAAACCCACACACAAAATTTCAAGCTTCTAGCTTCAGCCGTTTCGTCTGAGCGATGATCTCTGTTATATATAAGCTCTTTTATATATGTAGATAATTACGCATTTTTAAAACAACCTCCATGTCTCATCCTACACTCCAACCTTAATTTTAACTCCAAATTTTAGGATTCCCGCTCAAACAAAACGAATTGTACCATATTTAGTACCAGTAAGTGTCAATATGTACGAAATTCCAATACTTCCTTAATTCTGTAATTTTCATTTACCATCTCTATCCGTTAACTCTAATCAAAATTGTACCAAATGTTGTACCATTTAGTACACATGCTGACGAATTTTCAAAACTACCGACATATCTCAATTCTGCACTCCAACTGTAATATTAATTAAAAATTTCAGAATATCAGCCTTTATCATTTAGTACTTTTTGTTTCTATAATTAAAAATTTCCAAACCTATGTCAATCCTACACTCCAACAGTAATTTTAATTCCAAAATTCTGGAGTACAGCTCTATCCATTCACACTTAATCAAGTTGTACCAAATATAGTACCATTTAGTACACATAAGTACTATACTTCCATATCTCAATTCTATATTCCAACAGTAACCATTATTCCAAATTTTAGGTTTCCAGCCCTATCCGTTCACCCAAATCCTAATTGTACCAAATCTAGTGCCGTTTAGTACTTTTCGTATACGTTAAATACATCGATTTAAAGATTTGTATAAAATATCTGTCTTAAAACTTCGAGACCAGGAAATGTGTTCGATATAAAAAATGTTCGTTATAACCGATGTTCGTTATAAGCATACCCGACTGTATCTCTAAAAGTATCTATATATATAATATTAATAATAGATTTATAACAATTTTTTTCATACCTTCCCTGGGATGCGTATTGTATAACCAAGTTATGTAGAGTTCTCAAACGAGCTGGAATTTCATAACCCGAAGATTGATTTGAGTATTGACTTGGAGGCGTTGGAGATATATTGTTTCTATCTTCATTATCATCATCTGGAAAAAGTTCCATTACGGGATCAGGTCTAGGTTTTTCATTTTGTTCCTCCTGATCTTGATTTTCGTCATATTTTTTTACAGATGTCATAAATTCTAGATGTTTCTTTTCTTCTTCAAGTTGGGCGACCAATTGTTCTGATGCTTGAAATTTTTGTTGTGTATTAGCAAGTTCATCACGTAGCCATGCATTTTCCTGATGCAATCTTCGTACCTGCGTTTTAAGTTTTTGCTTTTCAGCTTCAATGTTTTGAAGATGACATGATAGGGCCATCATTACTTGTGCCTCATTGAGACCCAATTCAATATTCTCTATATTTTTTCTTATGATGTAAGTTTTTTCTTCATCCTTATTAGATTCGCTTATTCCAGAAATTAATGAGGCATGTTCCACTCGAAGTGCTTCCAGTCCTTGTAGAACAGTTTTTGTGTTACTTATTATTTCGTCTTGAGTCATTTGAGTCATTTTGCCAATATTTTCGATTTTTCGACTACAAATAAATATAAAAGATTTGTTTATCGGAATATGAAGTATAAATTATTATAGTAGATAAAATGACATTACATTCTGTAATTTTTAATTGCTTTCGAAACAATCATGTCCTTATTTTTCCTGTTATAGTCAAGTTTTGACAAAAAAAAATCGTCATAAGCAAATAATGTACGTGTCATGCGCAGTACAAATATTACATCATTGTGATACTGTTATCACAATAGTTAAGGGATAAAAATTATCTAGTTAAGGGATATACATTTCAACCACCATTTGTATACATCTTTACCGGTTCAATAAGCGAGGGTTGTACAGTAAATGAAATAACAATCACACAGAAATTTTTTGTTACAACGGCAAATTGTCGAATGACCAAAATTAAACTTGTCAGCGTTTCCTAAAATTCAACACTATCTCTTGCGTCTGCAAACGACAGAACATTTGAAGACAATTGATGAGTTCAAGGCCTATATAAGGTCGGCCAGTAAGCGAATTCATAGAATTCTATTAGGTTTAACGTCATTTTTTGCCGAGGGGAAAACTAATTGTTTTGCCTTTTTTATATTTTAAATAAAAAACACACAAATACAATACAATTTATAATTTTGTAAGCATGGCATAATTAGACAAGGTAGCATGGTACAATAATACAAGGTAGAGCAGCTTGAGGTGAATAACAAAAAATCAACTATGCTCGTTTGGCCTCTTCTGCCAAAAATAAAATAAATATACGCAACAAGTGTTTGTTTTTATTTGACATTTTTTTAACACAAAACTAAAAACGCGAAAAATTAATGAAAGGTTATGATTTCTTCCCAAAATCCAGTAGGGAATACCATAAAATGTTTGTTTCATCCATAACAAAGTAATTACTTCCAGACGAACGTGTTAAAAACTTTATTTTCATTTCAGTTAAACTTGAATATATTTCAATTTATTTGACATTGTTTTCAAAACAATACACACATACACAAAATATGTATTTTGATTTGATAGAATAAGCCATCTTGAGAAAAAATTGTAATCAGTTGGTAGCTGTGCCCTACCTTGTAATAATTATACCATGCAAGGTAGTCTCATGCAGGTATATAATTCCATTTTTTCATAATTTTAGTTTTACAACATTCAGCTTTCAAAATTTAAAGGAAAATATTCTCATTCGAAATGTACGCACAACACGTGTTCAGTGGCAATAATTACAAAATGTTTAATATTTTGAAGTTACCAGCATCTATAATCTATAAATATAAGTTGTAGCATTTAGATATTTATACATTGTTGTTTTTTTTACCGCAAGTCTGGATTAAAATATAAGAATATGTGTGCATAGCATTTATATTTATTTATTCATTTTTGTAATACAAGGCCTATAAGACCATATTTAATATTACGTAGTTAACAACAAACCCGAGCTTATAAGAACTAATATTCACTATAAAATATTAAAATTTTAATTTTAATTATTTTCTTCTTGGACCCCAGCCATAAAATACAAAAATATTAAGAAAATAGATGAGATTATGTACAGTAAACCAGTAGTAAAAAGAAGAATAAAAAATTTCAAAACCACCAATCATTACTGTAAACCAAAATAGAGATGAAGATTTCTTTTAAACACATTATTACAATGGAAGAATATCTGTATGTATGGGGGTGTGATGCAAACAAAAAAAATGGAAAATAAATGAGAACACAAGGTGATTAGTTTTGTATTAAAAAATAATTGGGAGGTTTATTGAATATTCTTTTCAAAATTACAACAAATAATTTACCTTAGTAAATTGGTGTGGCGTCAGAGGCCTTGGTGGTTTCGCTTTCAAATCTAAACGACAAGTGAACGCTGGGGCTCAGTGCAATCGCAGAGGATCGCGGTGATCGCTGAGGATCGTTGTCGTATATTACTACTACTACTACACTACTTCCAATGAGAGCAAGAATCTCTCATGTACCAAGGTGAGAAAAACCAACAACAACCACCGCCCGGTGGCATCTGAACTCTGCGGTCTCCGCTGAGGGAACTTGCTGAGTAGATGCCCGTTGTGTCAACCAGCAAACGTGATTGACTGAGCTCGGGAAGTTGAAGGTCAACATATCTAACTTATACATTGCCTCTCACCTTGATACATCTATATGTATCAACAAATATATATTATAGAATGTATGGATAAAAAAATACTTAATAAATAAGGAAAATAGGGACGCAAGTTCAGTTTTTGTGAGCATTTAATTCATTTCAAATTCAATTCAATAGAGTTACAAAACGGGTTGTTTAAAGTGGTACTGGACCCGAAATTATCCAACCGAACGTTGTATATTGGGCCGTAGGTAGACCCGGCTGGGATATTACGCGTGGGGAAATTATTTTAGCGTAAATTTCTGGACCTAAAACCATTGCAATGGGTCCAGCTCTATCAAAATTAGGATCGGCAAGTTCTAATCCTACAAACGATTCGCGCACGGAAGGTGGAGCCGACATGGAAGGGGTTACACCACGGGTTATATTGGCTAGACTGGCCGTAACATATTGTCTTTGCGCCGAATCAAACCGCGAGACTATCAGAAAATCGGCGTACTCCGATTGGTTAATTTTAGTGGTTGGCCATCGAAGGTGTCGGACAAGAGATGCGCAGACTTGGCTTACTTGACAACATGGGTCAAGCAACGCACGGACCGGTACAGTAGAATGTGGCAAGCAAATTCTTATCAACAAAGTGGGGGACAAAGACAAAGATCGCGTAATGGGCAGTACGGTAGTCGGCAAAACATGAGGGGGTGGCACAGGGAAAATACCTCGAGGCACAACGGGGGTAGGCGTTCTTTGCACGGCGCGACCTGAATTTTTAGACCTACGTTCCTTGTGCAATAACGTGTGGTGACGATCGTTGCAATGCCTACACGACTGACGGACGGGACAATTTTTAGAAATGTGGTCGGGGGTTAAGCAGTTGAAACAATAACGATAATAAGCTACTGCCCGTAAACGTTTTTCCAGTGTCATCCTTTTAAACGTATGACATTTATATAAATGATGTTGGTGGGTGCATATTCTGCAAGTTACCGGGGACCTTTTTGCCGCATTCGAGACAGGAACTACCGCCAAGGAACTGGTAGCCTGCGGATTCGGCATTGAGTTGTCGTCTTCCTTCTTAACGGAGGAGGTGGTGGGGACATTATCCAACTTTGGATCTTCGGGGTTCGCTTGGATTCCCGGACTAGTAGCCAACATCTCCGCTTCCAATTCCCGATCCGACATCATCACCTCATCGTAATCGGACAAAATAACCTCTGGGAATAATTCTTGTTGAGAGGACATTCTAACACACCAAAAAATGACAACACGAAAGAGAAAGAGAGTAAAAGAAAACGGCTTAGTTATGCAAGACGACTAATTTAACGACTGGTCGCCTAACTGTTCCCTGAGCAGTTTTGACGTCAACAACTCGAACTTTCCCGTCAATACCTGGATAAGTCTGGACAACACGCCCTAACTTCCATGAAGTAGGTGGCAGATTTTCGTGGCGAATCACAACTAAATCATCTATTTCAAAATTTCTCTGGGGGTATTTCCACTTATATCGCTTATGGAGACTGACTAAATATTCTTCTTTCCACCGAAGACAAAATTGATGTGTTAAGGCTTTCAACTTTCGATATCGATTAATCAAGCTCAATGGTAATTCTTCTATAAGGGGTTCGGGTGGAGAAAGGAGGGGAGCACCTATAAGAAAGTGTCCAGGAGTAAGTGCAACTAAATCATTTGTATCATCTGTCATCGGGCACAAGGGTCTAGAATTCAGACAAGCCTCTATTCGAGTCAAAATGGTAGAGAATTCTTCAAAGGTGTAAGATAAGGGCTTGGCATGTCGATAAAAATGTTTCTTAAAGCTTTTTACAGCTGCCTCCCATAAACCACCCATGTGGGGAGCACCAGCTGGTATAAACTGCCAAGTAAGTTCCTGAAATCCTAAGGTGGAGCAAACTTTATCACGACTTTCATGAATAAATTTCCTAAACTCATTTTCAAGTTCTCGAGAGGCACCGACAAAGTTGGTACCATTGTCTGAAAATATTGTTTTTGGACAGCCACGACGACCTATAAAACGATAAAATGTGGCAAGAAACGTGGCGGAGGACAAATCGGATGCTGCTTCTAGATGAACAGCTTTGGTAGCGAAGCAGACGAACACGCAGACATACCCTTTCGTTATACGACAGGCTCGACCAGTGAATGACTTAATGTCAAAAGGACCTGCAAAGTCGACTCCCGTGTTCGTGAAAGCTCTAGTAACCGAAGTTCTTTCGGGGGGGAGAGCACCCATTATTTGATTACATGGTCGATGCATCTCTAATAAACAGACTTTACAGCGGCTAATTGCGGTGCGGATCAGAACTTTCACCCGAGGTATCCAATACTCCATACGAATAAGACGCAACATTAGTTGGTTTCCGCCATGAACGGACTTTGCATGTACATATTCAACAAGGAGACGAGTGAAACGACACGAATACGGCAAAATTATGGGGTATTTTTCGGCAAGAGTTAAAGTGTCAGATTTGACCAAACGACCATTCAATCTCATGACACCGAATTCATCCAACACTGGGTTAAGCGACAGAAGGGAGCTACTAGAGGACACAGGGCGTTTATCGATAAGGGTCTTATATTCTGAGGGGTAATAAACTTTTTGTGCTATGATGGCAAGGCGACGTTTAACTTTTCCAATTTCCTCTGAAGTTATGACCGTACTGGTAAAAGAATTTTGTGAACGATAACGTGGATGAGTTTGATGTATAAATCGGAACATATAAGATAAAACTCGCAACGCTCTATCCAAGGATGAAAAATTATCTAAAATATCTTCATAATGAGTAAAAAACGAAAAATGTGATTTCACGCTTCGAACCTCTAAATTGGTTTCAAGAAGACTTAATTCATTCGTATTCCAATGTGAACTATCAAGACCCAACCAAGAGGGACCGTTCCACCAAAGTGTGGACTTAGCAAGTTCTGCAGGTGAAAGACCACGACTTCCCAAGTCAGCTGGGTTGTCCTCAGATCTAACGTGAAACCAATTGGCACTTCCTACGTTTTGTTGAATTCGACAAACCCGATTTGCTACAAATGTCGTCCAAGTAGTAGGCGTTTTTCGCAACCATGCTAACACAATTGTTGAATCCGACCAACAGTATAACTTTTGAATAGGAATGTCTATTTCATTCAAAATGGGTTTTAAAAGCTCCGACGCTAAAACGGCCCCACACAACTCTAAGCGAGGAAGAGAAACGGACTTTATGGGTGCAACTCTCGTCTTGGATGATAACAAATTTACCTTAATATTACCAGAAGAGTCCTTTATACGAATATATATTACCCCCGCATATGCTTTCTCTGAAGCATCAGAAAACACGTGCAATTCCGCTACGGAGCTTGGCTCGTATTGAACCCAACGCGGAATCTTAATTAAATTGACCTGGGGATAATTCTCAACAAATTCTTGCCAGGAGGTTTGAGTTGAAGAAAGAAGTGACTCGTCCCATCCAATATTATCTAACCACACTTTTTGCATTATAATCTTTGCAACGACAATAACGGGAGCTAACCAACCTACAGGATCAAATAATTTGGCTATATGTGAAAGGACTTCCCGCTTTGAGTAATTAGATTTTTTAGGAATTGGATTTACAGCAAAATAGAAGGAGTCTAGACTGGCATTCCATCTTATGCCCAAAGGTTTGGAACTGCTCGCTTCTACGAATGATAGAACTTGAGCATCGACTAAGTGACTAGGGGGTAAACGTTCAAGAATAGATTTTTCGTTTGAGGTCCATTTTCGTAACTCAAATCTAGCTGTGGACAAGGAAGTGATAAGTTGGTCACGCGCAAGTAATGTGGAGTTTATATCGTGACCACCAGCAAGAACGTCATCGACATACATACTGTTACGTAATATTTTAGAAGCCAAAGGATATTCTGATTCACAATCATCAGCAAGTTGAAATAAAGTGCGTATAGCAAGATAAGGGGCACAGTTTACGCCAAATGTGACCGTTTGCAATTCGTAGTCTTTAATGGGGTCACTAGGGGAGTCTCTAAACAAAATCCTTTGGAAAGGCGTATGTTTTGGGTGGACTCGAATCTGACGATACATTTGGGTGATATCACAATTAAAAACAAATCGATATAGGCGCCATCTCAGAATTAATAGGACTAAGTCAGCTTGGAGTGTTGGTCCCACGTGCAGAATATCGTTAAGACTTGTACCAGTGGAAGTCTTATTCGATGCATTGAAAACTACTCGCAATTTTGAGGTCTGTTTTTCTAAATTGACAACGGGGTGATGGGGTAAATAACAAAAATCTGGCGCTTGAGAAGGAGAGACAAGTTTCATATGATCTAAATCAAGGTATTCGCGAACAACTGCATCGTACATATCTTTAAGGGAGGGTTTGCATAAAAGGGACTTTTCATTTCGAAGATATTGACTCAAGACATTCTGACGTGACTCACCAAGTTTCAAATATTGTGGGAACTCAGCTCGCAAAGGGAGGGTGACAACATATCGACCATCTGAATTCCTCGTGGTGGTGGACCTATAATTCTCCTCGCAAAACTTGTCTGATGGCGAGAGCAATTTGCGCTTGGGAGCCTCCTCAAGTTCCCAAAAACGCAGAAGACTTTTATTTAGACTGTCTTCTTCACCAAATTCTAATGTGGTCGTAAAGACACGAACTGGTGAACATGAAATTGGACCAGAAATAATCCAACCGAAGACAGAATTTTGCGCCAAAAGAGAACCTAAAATGTTTTGTTGTACCCCAGGCAACAGAATTTGAGGATATAAATCAGCACCCAATAACATATCGACAGGACGACAATCAAAGAGATGTGGGTCAGCTAAACGAATTTGAGGCAAGGCACACGATACAGCAGGATCGATAGAAAAGGAGGGTAGATTGCCAGAAATTTTGGGCAGAACAAAGGCATCGGTTTCTAATGAAATTGAAGAATCTAAACGAGAGCTTATCCTTATGCGACAATTTTTCCTTGAAGTGACCGAAAGGGAACCATTTACACCAGAAATGTTTGCAAGGGTGGATTGAGAAGACAATTTAATTCTATTTTGCAAGTGCTCAGTTATAAAGGTAGCCTCAGACGCAGGGTCAATGAGGGCTCGCACTGGATATGAAGCACCTTGGTGCACAAGGGTGACAATAGCTGTTCCGAGAAGAACTTTAGAATTGTGAGAAGTGTGATAAACTTGTCGATTAACTATGGTAGGGTTCGCCCCAGAAGACGTAGAAGCGACATTAGCTAAATTAGAATCCGATTGGGCAGTGGAGGGAACGGGCGTTGCATTTGATGAAATATTATTATTGTGTGCCACTCTATTAAGTTAACTTTTTGAATCGAGGGCAGGAATACAAAGTGTGGCTTTCGTTGGAGCAAAAGAAGCAACGAGGTTTGGAGTGGAATTTTACTTGTTCGTGAATTTGAAGTTTTCACCAAATGTGACCTTAACGTTGCAGAGTGTGAATTTGAATGCAAATAAAGAAATCAATACCTTTTAAACTATCACGACAAACGTTGTAAAGTTTTTAGCCTATTTTCATTGTTAAGCGAAGGAAGATCAAACTGAATTTTTAAATGACTATCAACAAGAATGCGCTTATTGTCATAAGTATCGTACAAAGATTTCCAAGCAAGAGTGAAACTTTTATGTGTTAGTGGAAATTTAGAAACTATGTCCCTAGCTTCACCTTTAGTTTTTTGCACCAAGTGACATAATCTCTCGATGTCACTTAACCGAGAATTGTTTATATACATGGCAGAAAAGAGATCTCTGAAAGTAGGCCACGACAAAAAGTCTCTATGGAAATCATCAATATCACACGGAGGTAAATTGAGACTATGCATATTGATATTTGCAACATTCGGTGGTAAACTCCAATTGGAAATTGAAATATCCGCTGGATTCTGAATATCTGGGTGAACAGTATTAGATAGAGATGGCAAACGTATACTATGAATCGACACATTTCCATCGTTAGAATGTCCTGGTTGAACAACAGTAGACGGATTAGGCACATTAACAATTTGTTGAGGACGAGGGGAATTGTGCGGGGTACTAACATTAATGACGCTAGGCGTTATAGGAGAAGTTTTTTCCGCTTTAAAACTGTTCAAATGCTCTTTTATTTCGGACAAGCAATCTATGTAACTT